GATGCCAGCTGCTGGATCCTGTTCTACCCCGAGGCTGGGCTTAGCACGTCTCCATACTTGTGGCTCAGTCTTGCAGATGAACCTCAGTTTCTCTCATTTCTTTGGGTCTATCCTGCTGGGGATGCTCTTTTGGATGCTATTTCCCAGGTTTAGTCCTTCGGGGATGCTGTCCAAATCTAAATGTGCTTTAGCCACAGCCAAGCTCCTCCCAGAAAGGGTGGATTTCAACCTGGGTCTGAGCCCTAGTGGATCCATAGACAGAATTTAGTATTCCATGAACTTGAAGGAGAAACACTGTATCTTCATTTTTACTAGTTGGAAATTTGTCATTTCCTTTGATTGTGAATATGAGCAACACACTGTAATAACATTAACAGTATGCATAATCATCATGGTTAGAAATCATAACTTCATGTAACAACTGTTTCACATACGTCAAAATATTGTGTATTACCATCACTACTTAAAAAGTCTAGCAATTATTATGTCTATCATACCATCTCATTTAGCGAATTAATAAGGGATGTGTACATTATTTTAAACATATTGCAAAACTGGACACAGGCCAGGGAAACAAGTAGGCTAATTGCAGATCTTCACCTTCCCTCTCCACTCTCACCCCCAGCTCTGTAGCAGACCACCTGCTATCTCTTGCAGATCACACAGATCTTCTCCTCCAATCTTCCTCCTTCCCCCTTCTCATGCCCTTATACCAGCTCCATCTCCAGCAGGCATTCCCCAGGAACCTGCTTCACTCTCCCTCCTTTTCTCCAAGTCCAATCCCTGGTCTCATCTCCGGCTCTGTAGTGGACTCTCTGCGGTGGCCTCTGCTCCCTCTCTGCCCCCATTCCCAGGGGACTAAGCAGAATATGGTGGCACACCCTGCTTTCTTCTCTCCAGTGGATTCCCTCACCAGCTCCCCCAGCCCACCCCATTCCTGAGTGTGCTCCCAACACCTGGAAACACATTGTACCTGGAAACCTCAGTGGCCACAGCTAGCAGGATCCCCAAAGCATTATCTACCAGGCAGCACACAAACCACCACCCTGTTCTAAGAAACAGAGAGGACAACAGAAACCAAGAACAAAGCACCCACCTAGCAAAGACAAGACCAGATGTCAGAACCTAGAATTGCGATCTTCCCAGATCCAGATGCCCAGATGCCAGCATAAGAACAGTCAGTAACAGTCAGGGCATTATGTCCCTGCTAGAGCCCAGCAACAATACAACAGCAGGCCGTGAATACCCAACACAGGTGAAGCTCAAGCAGAGGACCCTAACACAGCCTTTATGGATATGGGAGAGGCCCTTAAAAAGGAAATGGGATGAAAACACAAACAAACAGTGGAAGGAAATAAGCAAAACACTTCAAGACCTGAAAATGGAAATAGAATCAATAAAAAAAAAAAACCCAAATGGAAGAAAATATAGAAATGAAAATTTAGGAACTCACACAGGAACCTCAGAGGCAAGCCTCACTTACAGAATACAAGAGATAGAAGACAGAATTTCAGACACTGAAGACAGGATAGAAGGTGCTAGAAGAAAATCTTCAGCCTGAAGAGATTAACCACAACCAAGAAAACACAAGGAATAAATAATCTCAGATCAGCAAATCAAAGGGGGGTTTAATCAAAGAATGAAATAACAGGAATCAACAAACACGGCCCAATGATCTCTCTTCATATCAATGCTCTCAGTTCTCCAGTAAAAAAAAACAGAAAACAGGAAGCATCCATCTGCTGCATCCAAGAAACACATCTTAACATCAAGCATAACATCACTTCAGGGTAAAAGAATGGAAAAGGATATTCCAAGCAAATGGACTTAAGAAGCAAGTCAGTGTAGCCACTTTAATACAAAATAGACTTCAAACCAAAATTAATCAACAGAGATAGGGAAGAACACTACATATTCATCAAAGGAAAAACTCCACCAAGAGGACATTACAATTTTTAACATCTATGCACCAAACCCAAGTTCATAAAAGAAGCACTACTACAGCTTAAATCACATATTGACCATCACCCACTGAAAATGGGAGACTTCAATATTCCCACTCTCACCAATAGACAAGTCACCCAAACTGTTGCAAAGTCTATAGGTTACTCTCTATAAACTGACAACATATATTATTATACTTTATTTTATTTTAATATTATTTCTTAGATGCTTGTTTGTTTTCTGATGAGAGACAGAAATGGGGTGGATCTGGATGGGAGGGGAGGTGGGGAGGACCTGGGAGGAGTAGAGTAGGGAAACTGTAATCAGGATAAATTGTATGAAGAAAAACTATTTTTAATAAAAGTAAAAAATTGGGTAACTGTATTTTAGCTTAGTTGTTTTCCACTGTGGTGCCATAATTTCATTTATGTGTTACACACTTTCTGAGAAGAGATCTAAACTGTTTTTCTATTGCTACTATAAAAATTGCTAAAATTTGAATGGCTTAAAACTATAAATTATGATTGTGCCTGTCGATGACCCCACATCCATGCATATACGGATATCACAAATTGGGTTATAAAGAAGGAATATAGGGAATGGGTTTGGGGGTGCTGTGGAATATATCTGGGAGGAATTAGAAGAATGTGAGCTGATAAAAAATACATTGTATGCACATATAAGATTCTCAAAGAATTTTTAAAAAATTAAGCAAAGTAATATCTTACTCTTGTTTTCTGGTTTTTTTTTTCCCACAATAAGGTCTCACTATACAGCTCTGGCTGTCCTGGAACTCACTCTGTAGACCAGGCTGGCCTCAAACTCACAGAGATTGACCTGCCTCTGCCTCCCAAGTGCTGGGATTAAAGTATGTACCACTACGCCAGGCATCTTACTCTTTTTTTTTTTTTTTTTTTTAGATCAGAAATAGGACAGAATGTTTACAAGGATAAAACCAAGATGTCCACTGGGCTGCATTCCTTCTAAAAGCACTCCAGGAGTGTGATCTTCTTCCTTTCCTTTAAAAAAAGTTTTTATTTATGTGGTGGTCAACCATGGCAAGACACACGTGTGGAGGCAGAGAACACAGCTCAGGAGTCAGTTCTTGCTTTCTGCCTTAGCGATACAGGATCTCTCATTTCTGCCCTCTGCACACTCTAGTGAACTACCCTGAGCTTCCTGGGATTCTCTTATCTCTGCCTCCTGTGGAAGCATTATTCTGCCCTATATAAATTCCATGGACTACTTAAGGGGTACAGGATACAGAGAGCAGAATGCCTTACAAACTCAGGGTACTCTGTGTTTGCCTGGTCCTGGATCTCCTGCCAAAGAATGCTGGCCTCGTTCTGGATACTATTCCAGCCAGATGTTCCAGAGGCTCTGTAAGTAGCACATCCACTCCCCACTTTCTCGCCCGCCCAGGTCTTTCTGTAGATCTCCTCACTCCCACAGGACCTGTCTACTTGCCTGCCTGACCCAGGTCTCCCCAGCATTTGCCTCCAGATTAGTGCTGGCTGTTGTTATTTTATTTCTGCTTTAAGCCTGTTTGAGTAGATGTTATTGAAAAGCACTGGTGACCTAGGTATTTAACAAACACTGGACTGATTTTTACCATTAAAGGACCCCTAGATGTGACAACTGCATTTGCTAGTGACTACATTCACTTTCCTAAGAGATTTTTGCTCCTAAAAATAACAGGGCATAGAGGGTCACATTGTGGAGTTTTCTTCTAGTGGTTAACATCTGGGCAGTGCAAATTCTAACTAGAGTTTTCCTGCCTTGCCCACAGTCAGGACAAATCTTTGTCACCCACCAGTCCCACAGCTGCTCAGACCCAACCAAGTAAACACAGAGACTTATATTGCTTACAAACTGTATGGCCATGGCAGGCTTCTTGCTAACTGTTCTTATAGCTTAAATTAATCCATTTCCACAAATCTATACCTTGCCACGTGGTTCGTGGCTTACCGGCATCTTTACATACTGCTTGTCCTGGCGGCAGCTGGCAGTGAGTCCTTCTGCCTTCCTGTTCTTTCTTTTCTCCTCTCTGTTAGTCCCACCTATACTTCCTGCCTAGCCACGGGCCAATCAGGTTTTATTTATTGACCAATCAGAGCAACTTGACATACAGACCATCCCACAGCACAGCCAAGTGCAGACCATCTCAGACACCTGCACTCAGGCTTGTAGTCCTAATCATCCTCTATGCGGACCTGCTGGGTAAAGCCCGAGAACGGGCTTCCACAGGACATACAGAACATCCCACAGCAGCAAATGGTATTTTTCCCCCAACAACAGTAAGTGATATTTTTCCCCTTGACAATCAACATTGGAGATCAGTTTGTTTTCTATCTCATGGAACTGAAGCAAAAACAAATTTAAAGTCATCCACAAAAATGAGTTCACTGAACATTCTTTCAGCACATTGTGAACATTTTAATTGCACCTTAACTCTGTTCTTCCAAGATGTATGATCTAGAAGATTTTTATATGCATAAAAATTTGAAACCAAGAGTGGCCAGAGGTGACAAGTTCATGGAATCTACCAGATAACTCTCAGTTGTGGTATTTTTTCCTACTCAACTGGACTAGAAGAAAATGCATATTTTTTTTAAATATTTCTCCCAACACCTTTTGAGGGATTAGAATGTATTCCTCTTACAGAGTCTGAGACCAAAAGACAGATTTTATTTCTGAGTTGGCAACCAAAGGAAGAAGATGGTTGGGGTGTCAGGGCACTGGGTACCATGCAAGGATGACAACAGCCTCTCTGTTTTCTGAAGAACTTTTAATATAGGCCAACAGGATGGCTCCCTAGGTAAATGCACTTGCCACCGATCCTGATGGCCTGAATATGGACACACACACACACACACACACACACACACACACACACACATACACATTCACACACCTCTAACCAGATCAACATGGTAGAAGAAGAGAACAGACTCCCTAAGTTTCCTACATGTGCACCACACACACACACACACACACACACACACACACACACTGTAGGTAAGTAAACAAACAAAAATGTTTAAGAGTTAATTAATTCTGCTTTGTGTGCACATGCCTATGCAGAGTGAGAATGTGTGTGTGTGTGTGTGTGTGTGAGAGAGAGAGAGAGAGAGAGAGAGAGAGAGAGAGAGAGAGAGCTGCACATAAACCAAGTCAGGGTTAGCATCCACGAGATCACACTCCTGGAGCATGTCCTTTTCATTAGACAAGAGTGTGCACAAGTGTGCAGGGTAACACCTGGCAAATCAGCGGGAACTTATTTTTCTTTGACATTGGTCTGGCTGGAGTGCTTGGGCCCAGAGCAGGCCTGCTACAGGTAGGTGCTGAAGTCTCGCTCCGTGCAGCCTCTCATCCTGATGGGTGGGGTGAGTCGGAAATGTCTATCAAGCCTGTCTGTGAGAAGCCTCTCTGCTGGAAGCCTTGCCAGGCTGGCTCATCAAAAGAGCTCAGCATCACCCAGCGGAACGGATGCTGGGGGAAACTAAGCAGCAGAGAACTTCAGGGAAGGGCTAGCACTGGCTTTGCATGGAAGGAGCCTGATGACATGCTAATGGATTTCTGCGAACAGTCAAAGCAGTTTTTCTTGGTATCGTCTTAATTACTTTCTGTACAAAGAGAAAAAAAAAAAAAAAAACAGTGAGTGGCAACAATTAACTCGCATTGCCAGTTTTTCTTACTTCTTGAATTCATCTCATAAACAAAGCATATCAATCCAATTTGTTAGGTTTATTCATTTCAGCATCTTCAGAGATGTACAAACACTGCCCGAGAGGGGACATTGGTGGTTTCTCTCTCTGTCTGTCTCCGTCTCTCTCAGTGCAAAGGTTTATGTCTGTTGACACAATTTGTTTTACTTTGGGTGGTCATTTTCACGTAGCACCACATACTATATAGAAATGAGCATTCCAACTTGTGGTGCTCTGGGCTTGCTTAAAGCGGTGTGTGCCTCTCCCATGGGGAAGATGAGGAACTCCTGCACACAAAGTTCCAAAGGAAATCCATGTTTTCTTCTTGTTTAGCACTGTCTTTTAGAGGGTGCTGTTTATCTGCCTAGTTCTGATTTATTGTCTTTAAAATGGGGAGAGTGGTGTACTCTCCCTTTCTTTAAAAAATGAATAAAAAGCAAATGAGGGTGCACTTTCTGATTCCTCTGTTTTATTTAATTAATACTTTGATAAAGGACAAGTATTCTTACCTCCTTTAGCAACTTTTAACCAGTTTCAGTTGTTTATATTCTATGATTATATATAATATATATACATATCTGAATTGTGTGTGTGTGTGTGTGTGTGTGTGTGTGTGTGTGTGTGTGTGTGATATTCTCAGAGAAAACTCCACTCATGGTATTCATGTCCAGTTGCTTTCTGGACCACGCTGTGCCTATAGCAAGAAGGTGATGGGAGATGACACCAGAAGGGGCTTGAAACTGACTTCTCTCAGCTCTCCTCTCCATCATCTAGATTCTGACCCTCCCATTTTCAAATGCTGGAATCAAAAACCTCCCAGGGTAAGAGACAGAGGAATTGCATTGCATGGCCTCTAAGGAGGCAACCTCCGCTATCCCCCACAAGCCATACACCCCAATGAAACTAACAATTTCCTGTGAAGGGTAAAACTGGAAACTACTCTTGGGATTAATGAAAAATTAATTTATTGGGTTGCTCTGGCTTTTATCTGGGTGAAAATAACCCAGGAGAATACACACATGGATTTACTGTTAGTAAATTCAATCCAGCATTTTTATGCCCTAGGAAATAAGCAAGGATATCTGAGATGAGGCCCTCTGGCAAAGCCTTTAAACTCCTCGGGCAGCTGGTAATGAGAGAAGCGCAAGTTCAGTGGACCAGATCCTGAGAAAAAGGAGGCTCCCTGGGATGGGGATGCGACTGGGACTTTCTGCTCCGGTAGCTCAGAACTCCTTGAACAGCAGCGACAGAGGCAGCAAATCTGAAGAATTCTGGTTCCGTTTAGACTTTGGCTGACCTCATCCTCACCATGAGCTTTCAGAGCTTTCTGTGTTTCCAGGAGGCCCTTGTGAATACAATGGTGAAGAGGGGTTTTCACTATGCCTCTGCCCCAGGAGCTCTGGGTGGGCTCGCCATGAAGAATGGATCTGTGCTCTGGGGATGGAGCTGCTGGCATCCCCGGGAGCAAGAGAATGAGTGTGGGTGTGATGTGGGGTGGGGTGGGGGCGGGGATTCAAAGGAAATGTATATGAAGGGGTCAGTCAGCATAGCCACAGTCCCTCACCAAGTTTGGGGACCGTGAGAGTCTGTCCTTTAAGGGGTGTATGTACTGTTCACAGGCCTGGCTATATAGTCTCCCCCAAAGGGTAAAGTCCTTAAAGGTTTCCCATAGAAGGATTCCCACTGAACTCCGGAATGGGACTGAGTTCTTAGTTTCCCAGAGGACTTCTCTCCCACAGCAGATTCTCAAGGATGCTGCTGACCCCAAATGGCCACTGAATCTATATCTGCAGCCTTTAGGCTGAGACCATCATGACTCAGGACCCTGCAAAGAGCCAAACTGTGCCATGTTGGGAGACTATAGGCCTGGCCCAGGGGAATATCTCCTTAAGTCATACATACCCTTCCATCAAGTTTTGGAGCCCAGCCTGTGCCCTACAGGTGCTCTGGGTGGTCTCTGGTCCCCTATGAGGGGGGACCAGAACATGTAAACATGTTGGCTTTGGTGCTGCTCTGCAGGCCTGAGACCAGAAGATAGCTGGGGACCTGGAGCCTGCAAGGTACTATGATTCCAAAGCTAAGTGCTACAACATCGTGGCTGCAGTGTGGACATTGGTGCCCCCATTGCTCCTGCTCCTCAGGCTGGTGGTGACTGGAGCTTTGCACCTATTGCAGCTGGCCAAAGACTCTGCGGCTTTCTCCACCACCAAGTTTGATGATGAAGACTAGAACTGAGAGCTCCGAGCCTGTCCTGAACCAAGAACAATTATGCCAGGTCACTGACCCCAGGTGCCCAACACCAGCTCCCAGGAAATTATAGCCTACCACAGCGCCTTGGTCCCTGCCCAACCATGACTCCGGAGGTCAACCTCTTGTCCGTCATATGTATTCAGCACTGAGCCACTCAGACTCTTAGACTTTACCTCTAACCTAGAGGGTCCTCAGCACCTGGCTTTGCCCCTTTCCCCCCACTTACCAGGCTGAGCCTCCATTCATGAGTGGAAGATTCCAGACATGTGTGGGTTCCTCCTTCTTGGTGGTAGTTATTCATGTAGGGAGCCCCAGCACCAAATCCTCTGGCCAGCTCCTTCTCATGCCTGGCCTTCCGATGTCAGTCGTGGGTGGGACCTTTTCTGACCAGCTATGTTCTTGCCAATGGAACCACCTGTAGGCATCATCGACATCTGTAGTGGCTTCTTGCTCAGTAACAGCTTCTACAGTATCACTTTCATGGCTCCTTCCTCGTGTGAGAAATATAACATTATCAATACACCGGTCTTTAGAGACTGGTGATGTAGAAATACTATCTATTGTTTTATCAATTGAATCACAGGGGCTGTCTGAGGGTCTGTAATATGTGACACTGAATGCAACCCAATCAGTTCTCCTTACAAGGATAAATTTACTCTTCAACTTCCTGGAAACACTTTGGGTAAAACTCAACCTTTGGACTCAATGGCTCCTTTGGCCAAGCAATCAGTTGCATGCTCACAGGTCCTGTTCTTGGGCTTACATCATTCTGAGGAGCTGGGGAGCTTTTCCTGCCCCTCGTGTGCCCTTTCCTCAGGCACCCAGTATCTCCACTCCTTTAGATTTCCACACTGAAAACCTGCCCTGAAGTCTCCGGACTCCATGAAACCTTTCTAGACTCTCCATATGCAGTGGCAAGATGGCCGCTCAGTGGGTAAAGGCACTGGCCACCAAACCTAACGGTTTGAGTTTGATCCCCAGAGGCAGGTGGTGCAAGGAGAGAACCAACTCTTACAAGTTGTCCTCTGACCTCCATACTCTGTTTCTGCAGACTCATGTGTGTGCATGCACCCACGCACACTAAATAAATTCATGTAAAAAAAAAAAAAACAACAATCTACGTCTCTTGGTGTCCGGTCGGCTCAGTGCAAGCTTCTCTGAAGCCATGCCGGAACAACTGAGAGACGTGGTTTGATTTTTACGTGCACATTCTGTGCCTTTGATCTCATTTGTGCTTTGTGCCTGATCCAGATTGGTAGAGAGGGTAGGGAAGTTTTTCCGATGTCACCATGAAGTTGAGGAGCGTAAGTTCTGCACATAGTGGATGATATTAATGAAATCTGCTGGGTGAGTTGGGGGCGGGGTTGGACTCCGGTTGGCAGAGAGGAAATCAGCCATGACTGTTTGAGGGAAGGAGAAAGACAGGGCTACTTTCCCCAGCTACGTTCCATCCAAAGTGTCTGTGTGAATGCTTTGGTGGCCCAAAGCCCCGGCAATAGCATTGGACAGATGTCTGACCATTTCCTGCTTTGGGCTCTGAGTTCCTTAAGGACATATGCCATGCAGACCTCAAGATATGCTTACGGAGGAATTCCATCTCTAAACAAATAAAGTCTCCAAGAATAAAACCAAGTAAAACCCTGTACCGAAGGCAGAAAAGCCAGTCTCTTAATGCTTGGTTGAAGCATCTCCCACAGCACAGGGGACATTTGGTTCAATTTTTTCTCTGGAGGAATGAAGACCCAGTTGGGAACTTAATTACAGTATCATTTTGTCAAATTCTGTAACACTTTACATGTAGGATTACATAGACCTCACCTGGGACCTGAGAACTGAGAGGCATTGGGGGAGAGAGGCAAACGCTCCATCAGTCTTCACGGACAAAGGAGAACTTGTGTTATAAGCATTCAGAATTACAGAGGGAAAGGCATTTTCTCCATTCTCATGCACACAGAGGCATAATCTGACCCAGGTATAACCTAGCTGTGAATTAAGAGGTGCTTTATAACAGGCTTTAATTGCATTCATCTGGAATTTTGCCCCTCCTTGCAGTTGGGGGATTTAATTAATCCTCACCCAGAGGCCAGTCTCTTCAAGGCAAATACCATAGAAGGGCAAAGAATCACCTGAATGTGGGTTATAGCTAGATTCTGCCAGCTTCTCTTTTATTACTATTCTCTATTGTTTAAAGAACTTTGCTGAACGATTGGATTGTATTTGTGCCTTGGGGCTTCTGAGAGCAATTGGAAAATACATCCTAGAATAAACCACATGATTATTAAAATGACTTCAAACAGTAGGAATCTTATTTTCAAAGGAGCTCGGAATGCCTGTATTTACTCATATTTCAGCCCTTAATTTTTCATGTTCCGTATTTTGAGAATAAAATATATAAGGCCGTGTTCGAGTCTAAAAAGGCTCCTGTGTTAAAGTGTTGGTTGCCTGCAATGGGACCTCTGAGTGGTACTGGATCACAAAGGTTTTAGCTGCACCAGTGGTTTGATCTATTGAGGGGATCGTAGCGGAATAGGCTAGTTAGGTGGTAGGTCTTGGTGGGAGCTTGTCCCTCAGCACTGCCTAGGACTCACACCTTCTTTCTCTATCTGCTTGCTGGCTGCCTTGGGGCAAGAAGATTTCTCCACCGTGTTTTTCTCTTACATTTTTGCTTCAACATAAGCAAACAATGACAGAGTCAACCTAGCTCCGAAACTCCTAATCTCAATAAATGTTTCCTCCCTTAGCTGACTTTTCTGTCTGACAAAAAAAGTAATTGTTACAGACTATGGCAGTGGTAATTGCCACTGAGCAAGACTAGTAAGAAGTCCTGGTTTGGATTCTGTTGCTGTGATAAACACCACGACTCAAAGCAACTCAGAGAGGAAACAGTTTATTTATTTGGCTTACAGGTTAGATACAATCCATCACTGACGGAAGCCAGGACATGAACTGAAGTGGAGACCATGCAGGAATGCTGCTTACTGGCTTGGTCCCAGACTCACATTCAACTATCCTTCTTATACCGCTCAGGCCTACCTGCCCAGGTATGACACTACATCCAGTGGGCTGGGCCCTCCTGCGTTAATTAGCAATCAATGAAATGCCCTCACAGACTTGCCACAGGGCGATCTGATGGAAGTAAGTCCCCGGTTGAGATTCCCTTTTCCCATGTGTGTCAAGTTGAAAACCAAGATTAACCATCACAGGTGAGCAACAGCTCCCCTGGACATTTGGCTGTTTTTCTCACCTGTCACAACAGGAGGGCACTAGGGAACACAGCTGAAGAGATTAGTCTAAAAATTTGCCTGTACACTTGAATGATGGTGCATGTTCACCATCACAGTATTCAGAAAGTGGAGGTAACATGGTTGGAACTTAAAGGTCATTCTTGCCTACATAGTAAGTTTAAGACCAGTCTAGGATGTTTGAAACTGTCTCAAAAAGAAAGAAGGAAGAAAGGAGGAAGGAAGGAAGGAAGGAAGGAAGGAAGGAAGGAAGGAAGGAAGGAGGGAAGGAAGGAAGGAAGGAAGGGAAAAAGGAAGGAAAGAGGAAGGAAGGATAAAGAAAAAAGTTGTCTGGCAACTTGTTTGGATAAAACACACTCAAAGGAAAGGAAATTAAGCAATAAAGCCTAACTTTTAATCACATTCAGGTATTTAATACATATATTTTCTTCCCCCTCTTTTCTAATTAATCTTATTTCTTCCATTTCCATTTCTTTCATCTCTTTATATAATCTGTCATGGGTATATTTTAGTCAAAGTATTTAGAGCTAGATAAATGTTGGCTATGGAAAGATATTTTGTCATGAAAACACCAATTAGCTTGCTTGGGCAAGGTACTGGATCATAATGAGTTGTGTACTCACAATCAAACTACCAGAGTTTAGGCTCTAGCCCAGCAATGAACTACAGGCCTTACCCTCACAGCACCTCAGTTTCTTCAGTTAAAAAAGTAACACGGCAGTTGAAATATTTTTGTCCTTCTTAAGGAATTGGTACTTGAAGTGAGATAAACAAGAAAATACAGACCATAGGAAGGTGGAGTGGGAGTGATGTAAGAGCAGTGTTGACTTTGATATCGGTGTGTTACTTCTTCCCAGAACTCTACCACACAAATAATAACAGCTAATACTTGTGTCTCAAGCACTGAGACAATTGACTTGCATTAGTCATTTATTTATACAATTAGCAGATACTGACTATTTTATTTTCCTATTATATCTACTATATCTTCTTCTCTATATGAGGAAAGAAAGACATTAAGAGGCAGCCTAATGGTCCAAGGGCACATGACTGGCAATGGCACCCATGGTGAGCTGAATTTTGCCCTATCTGAAAAGGAAATATCCAAGTCTGACTCCTGGTTTGGGGGATGTGACCTTCTTTAGGAAAAGGTCTTTGTGTAAGTTGAGGACTTGGAGTTGATGACATCATGCTCACTAGAGGAGTTGACACATGCAGGAAGAGAGTCTCAGGGAGATCACATCACGCCTCCAAAAACCTAAAATCGTCTGAGGCCCCTGGGAGGCAGGAACAGCAAGGAAAGGTTCTGCCAGCACCATTGCTTAGGATCTGCAGCCTCCAGAATGTGAGAGAGTACATCTATGGCATTTCAAGCCACCAACTTTTGGGTAGTTTGTTAGAGTGGCTGCAGAAAACCAAGGGTGGGCCACTGGGATTCAGACAGAGGGAGTCTGACCGCAGGGCTGATTTTCCTTTTCTACTTGACATGTAGGTAAATCAGGAGAAGGAAATGATCTCACTGCGCATAACATCATTACCTTTGGGGAAGCGGAATGGATGAGGGTGGTACTTGTGTGAAGCACAGGTTATAAGTTCTCATGTGGGAAAAGGTTCGTGAACGAGCCAGAGATTTTGATGCAGACCTTGACTCTTGCTAACGACAAGAAGGAGTGAGTTACAGCTAAGCTTCCCGAAAAGACTCGGCCACTCTTGCTCCATGTCTGCTTTGTGCTGTTTGCATTGATCTCTTAAGCGTACATGCTCATCAGTTTTGTAGGAAATGATTATTGAACATGTCCTTAATGCTCAAGACAAAGTCAGATACTATCAATACAGGTTGCAAACCTTTTTTTTTATTTTCATAAACAAACAAGAAGCCAACTACCTCATCTTGAGTTATAAAAAAAGACATAAAGCTGGGCATGGTGGTGCATACTTTTAATCCCAGCACTTGGGAGGCAGAAGCAGGTAGGTCTCTGAGCTTGAGGGTAGCCTGTTCTACAGAGCAAATTCTGGCAACTCAGAGAAACTGTCTCAAAAACAACAAAAGGAAAAATAGAAGAAACCTACAAAAATTTACCTTTTATAGTCTCCCTAGAAATAACACAAAATATTGCTGTCATTTTTCCTTTTAGTTAACAAAATCAATTTAAATAAGGTGTGAACTCATAAAAAAACTTTTCATGGTGGCAGGAGTGTTAGAACTCTCTATTTTTTCAAATTTTTCATAAGTTGTTAAGAATAAAAAACCTTAAGTAATTAAAAATAAAATTAGTGTTCTCCCTTGGAAAGAGGAAATAATGCATCAAACTTTCAACAAAGACTTAAATCTATTAATAAGCAAAATCAATGAATAAAAGATATAATAACCTGTTATTTGATGAGTTCAGGTTGGTGACATCGATAACCACAACAATATCAATTTTGGATCAATATTCTCTTGTGTTCTTAAAGGAAAACATTTTTTGATTTATATTTTTATGTTACATAACATCTTATCGACACTAACTTGTAAATAGACTTTAAACAACACAATTCTCTGGTGGGTAAGGAAAGCCCTAGAGACCGTCTACCTTGTTCCTGCCCTCCTTAACTTTGCTGAACAGAGCTCAGTTATGCGGTGCAGGTACCACAATGTGCCTTGGACCTCTCTCACCTTCCTCCAAGGGCCAAGGACGATCAGAACCCCTTAGTGATGAGCAAAAGGAGAGCCTTCAGCTCCCAGGCCAGCCGCTAAGTAAGAGCCTGAAGCTGCTGACCACTTCTTCACCCTATCTCGGACTTCCCTCCCAAGCTCCGCCCTGCAGTCTCAAGGGACTTCGGAACCCTCCTTGGTTTCCTCCTCGTTCATCGAATTCAGACGCCTTTGTTGAGTTCTTTGTCTCCTTACCAACCCGAGCCTTCCCCGAATGACTCGTTTCCGATAAGGGTGCCATTGTCCCTAGGATGAAGGCTCACAGCTTCGACACCGTCTTCAGTACTTCCGGTCTCCCACTGAATGTGCTTCCAGGAAGCTACTGTCCAGTTACCTCTCATAATTCAATTCACATCCTTACCACCCTACCCACCCGCGCTAGCATTTCCTACACTGGACTCTCAGTGTTCGCTGCCCAGACTACTGAAGCCATCATCTAATGGTCTCGAGGCTGGACTCCTTCCCATATCCACTGTGACTGGCTAGACACTGCCATATTTTTATTTGTTAAATATCTTAAAGGTTCCTCTGGCCTGTTTTTGTTAAAATCCAGTGAGGTTTTAAACTGACAGTGATGGTGTGGGAACAGGGAGAACCCTACTGGGTCAGGCCCTCCCCACCTCTTCCCACACCGATTTCTGCTTTCTCCAGATGACCACAGAAAATATGCACCCCGTCTCTTTCCCTTAAAGCACCTCTCACCCCAAACCAAGCTGTCTTCCCGCTGGTTATGCTTTGTCTCCCTTCCCTATTTTTGTGCTGTTCCGTGATTTTTGCTCCAGGCTTCAAATTCTTTGATGTGTAGCGAGGGCGGTGACGTAATGGTGCCCCACAGATTCAACCCATGACTCTGTTTTGAGCTGGGCAAGAGCGCACTCACTCACCCGCAGATGCCCCGTTGTTTTTTTTTATCCTGAGAGGAGACTCTCCTCTGCAGACACGTCTTACACCAGTGGCTCCATTCTTCCTCAGCCTACCCTCTGCCATGCCTGGACTTACGACCTCCCAGTAAACCCAGGGGCCCTGCTGGAGCCACTAACCGAAGTCGTATTTTGTTGGACAGTCTTCCTGTTGTCTGCTGAGATTTTACCAGTGAGTTCAAACAGCATGGAGAGAACAAAGCAGGGAACAGGGTCCCCTTGTCACATGCTATCAGGCTTTGGAGGTACTGGAAGCTCAGATAGGTTAGGTCTTGGGGAGGCTAAATAAGAACTGAGTCTCTCACATTGCTAACACCTCCGCGGCCTTACAAATTCCATCTAGAAAACACCCCTGTGTCTCCCATGCCCACTGGTTAGACTGAGGTGTGGTCAGTTTGTTTCCATGCCTGCCTTTAGGATGTAGTTTTTTCTGCGCTGCCCACAGTGGCCTAGATTGCCTGGGTGAGCCCCTTCACTGCTTAATGCTCTCAGGGTTGGGGAGACTGGACGTACCCCCATGGCGCTTCAGCTGACTCTGTATCATAGTAGTTAGATGCTTTGTGCATGGTTTTCCGATGCCTTGGCCCCCTTCCCTGTCCCTCTTTGGAGGAGGGAAGAGGCAATACTGGTTCTGCCATCCTCTACCCTGTGCCCACTGTCCTAGTTCTCACAGCGTTTTCTGCAAAGCATGGACAAAACAATTTTTCCACCGGAACTCCAGAAGCACAGGATAAAAGGACGCACCGGTGTGGTGGAGAGGCAGCCCCCACATCTAGCAGTGTTGAGAGCTGATCTCCCACACTGTCTCCATCTTGTGCTCTGACAACCTCCAGCCGGGCCTTTGGATTTATTTGAATGCCATGAGTCTCGGCTTGGCAGAGGGGAGGCGGAGAAAGGATGCAGTCACCGGAGCAAGACAGATCATCAGAGGAGTCTTCGTTCTGGAAGAAAGAGGCCTGGGTGAGTGCCTTTTTGCCCAATTCCAGACTGAGTCATGGGCTGAGTCTGTGGGACACAATTACTTCACCACCTTTGCTAATTACACCTTGAAGAATTTAAAGCCTGGAGCAAAGTTGCCAACTGTTGCTTCCTGGAGTTGACGCTTAAGTTCCCAGCTCTGACGTTTTCAACTGTGTTAGTCTCTTGTGGCCTTTATATGATGTCTCCGAGCAGACTGCTTCTGAGGGATTTCTTTGCCACTGTCACCTAATATTTTCCATCTTGGTAGGTAACGTTCCAAGTAGTCTGCACCAAAACTAAAACAGCTACGTGGCCAGGAAGGACTCATTCTGTGTTTGCCTAGAGTGACCGGGAAGGACCCTCCTTTGTTTCCACAGGCCAGGCTTTAAGATGACTCTGGTGGGGGACTTTTCAGGTCCACTCACGATATCTGTGTCCATTTCACTTCCCCTCAGGACAGGTAGAATCACCGACTGCATTCTTATCCCCAGCCTCAGGCCCCACTCCCTTCTCCTCAGACTCCTATCGTGTTCATTCATCTTGGTTCTAAGCTTTAGTTCCCATCATCTTCTCTGACCTTAAAACAAATTCCCATCGGGAACTTCCTGCCTCAAATTCACTTCAAATCTTTCTTGGAAAGTGATAAAATAAAAATAAATAAATAAATAAATAAATAAATAAAATATACCACACAAATGATCCAATAATTGAGTTCACATGAAATATCCAATAATTGAGTTCAAACACTTCATTTCCTGAACATGGGTCCTCAGGGGGCAGGTCAGTGGTTAGCTCCTGGTATCCTGGAGGCCTATATTAAACACTGGCTGCTTTTAACGTAGCCTAGAAGCCGTTGCCATGGGACAACTAGTAGGTCAGGGGGCATGGCCTACTCATCCTCTGTCACCCATTTCCACAGTCTGTGTGCAGAGGCCTTGCTCCGTGCAGGTCAGTGTCCACTGAACGCGTCTCTCTGTGCCACCCTCCCGAGCTCACCCTGATTGCCATTGCCCTGCATCCGTGGTGCCTCAAACTCTTCAGTTCATGGCTTGCTCTGAGTCAAGTTACCATTGGCCTGGCCACTGTGCTGATAGTGTCTCCAGGATCTAGATTGTATACGAGCATAGGCTTTTGCCCTGTTTGACACATTTTCTGGGTGAGCTGTGGCTTTTGCCAAAGGATTAACACTCAGATAGACATGGATATATATGTCCCTATTCACAGCTGGGTAGAAAAAGGGCAATCCTTGCCTTACCAGAAAGTGGGAGAGGGAACTAGCCTTTTCTACCCAGTACCTCCAGCCTTCCCACCCAAGCCTAATAACCAGGTCCAAGTGTGGACTTCTCTATCCAGGGGAGTCATATCGGTTTGTCTGCATGACACAGGATAGAGGGTTACTTAACAAGTTTAGTCTAATTGGTAGGTTTCAGTTTGGTCCTGTGTGATCAAGATCAAGAGGTGATGGCACCTAGACTCTTGGCATTTAAGAAAGAAGAAATACAGTTGGGCAGAAGTGCCATCGAAAACACAGAACAGCATGTTGCTATGGTAACAACATGTAACATGGAAGTCTCATGTGATTAGACTTAGCTTGCCAATGCTCAGCTAAGAGATGGAGTCTTGCTTGTCAAGTAGATCACAAGAGTCATTTCAGGCAGAGCCCCAGACCCTTCTTAGGGATTTTAATTCAGTGGGACTGTGGATCTGAATATAAATTTTAGTGATCTACATACTCAATCTATTCTCCAGGTGAATATTGCCATTTGTAAGGCCTGGAGAGCAAAGTTCCAAGGAAAGATACCAAGTCACTCCATGGTAGGAAGCATAAGGGGAACACCAAAACCCAGCAGGGATTTAGTGGAGGTACTGGGTGAGGGGATATCAGTTCCTTAGACAGTATCAGTTACTGGGCCGGAGCTCCCCACAGACTAATTTTAGTCCAAGAGGACTCGATACTTAGTTTTGTTCAAGTTAAACCACTGCTTTAGGATACTTGCTTGCGACTTTAAATTGTTCTTTCTTGAAATTCTCACAGGTGGCACTTGGATAATGGAGGAATGGTTCCTAGTCTCAGAACACGTGGGGATGAGACCCTTAGCCTGGGTCTGGACCTTCAGAAAGGTCAAGCTGCTGCCTGCGGGAGATAACTGAGCTTGCTTTCTGTTGGTTCCAGTAGCTGACCGTCTTGTCATTTTTTTCTCCCTTGATTTGTCCTGGCCCAGGGCCTCTCTATTAGAGCTCCCTTGCTCTTGGGTTTTCCTGACGTTAAAACTGCTCTGCATCGTCTCACATCGGCCGCAGGTTCCTGGCCCCAGAGTTCCTAAGGATTGTTTGTGTTGTCCCTTACTCTGTCTCCAGCTTTTCAGGACCTATACTCATCGACCTACTGACTCACAGAGATGACATAGACATCCTTTTCCTGCTTGACCCTGCTCCTCACTCCCCTAACTGTGCTGGGCCTCAGCTGCCAAGAGCAGGCAGGAGCCCTGTGCCTCAACAACACTCTTAGCCTGTCCAGGGAGCCAGCTAGCTCTGCTTTAATTCCAAGGGATCTCAGCTTCTCACTGTCTTCCTCTCCCTCTGTATGCCCTCCCACCAACAGGATAGCACACGGACAGCCTGTGACTCCTACTCCTGTCCCCAGGCATTTTACTCTAGAAACCATGAGTCCATCCTCACGGACAGCTTCTTGGTTTAGTGGGACAAAGTTGATATAGCATAGCGCATCCTTTCTTTTGAATTTATTGTCCCACACAAATTCCTAACTAGACTATAAGAGGGAACCCACAAGCTTCCTTTAAATTCCTCTGACAGTCCCTGTCTCCCTTCCAGGCCACCTCACCACAAGAAAGGCAAAACAATCTAATAACAGTTTTTGAATATTACCTGGTGGTCTTAATGAGATACAAAAGAGGGCTTTGTCAATCTACCATCTTGAGATGGAAACTTTTATTCCTATATGCTGAGCTGACACAGATTTACAGAAGAGCTGAATAGCACATTCTTTGTTATTGTCTATTTTTTCCTTCCTTCCTTCCTTCCTTCCTTCCTTCCTTCCTTCCTTCCTTCCTTCCTTCCTCCCTCCCTCCCTCCCTCCCTCTCTCTCTGCCTTCCTCCCTCCCTCTCTCTCTGCCTTCCTCCCTCCCTTCCTTCCTTGAGACAGGGTCTCATCGTGTAGCCCTGGCTGTCCTGAAACTCACTCTGTAGACCAGGCTGGCCTCAAACTCACAGAGATCCACCTTCCTCTCCCTC